CTGCTTGGAATTTCCTGCCCCCTTGCCTGTCCCCCTTTCTGCATGGCTGGCTCCTCATTCCTGCGCCCTCTCAGCTTACATGTCCCCTTCTCAAAGAGGCTTCCTCTGCTCATTCTGTCAAAAGGAGCCTTTTCTTGATAATCTTTACCTTACAAGGTCAAGTAAAGCTGTAAATATTTTTCTCCTCCTCTTGTTTGATTTGGTTTTTGTCTGTGCCTTCACATGCGAGTGCATGAGAAGATGGACCATGCCTATGTCATACTGATTTTGTGTCTCTGTTGTTTAGCCGGAAGCTGGGCACGTGGCACATGCCGCTGGATAAAGGAGTGGTTGAGGTCCTCAGGCGTGGGGTGCCATGGGGAGAATGGGGGTGAAGGAGAGACCGGGAGCTCCATTCAGGAAAAGGGGCTTGAGCAGCTCGCGAGGCCTGAGATCCAGGGGTCCAGTAGGCGGTCACTGCCATCTGGTGAGGACAGGACTGGCCTGGAGGTCGAGATGTGAGTCATTTGACGTGCTGGTGGTCGTTAGAGCGATGAGGTTGAAAGAGGTTGTCCAGCAGTGGGATGTGTGCCTCAGGTGTGATCTCCTGGACCGCCTGTGTTAGAATCACCTGCTGAGCTGTCTCCACGAGCAGGTCCTTGACCTCACCCCAGACCTCCAGCATCAGTCTCTGGGGATGGCAGCAGTGATCTGTGACAACTGCACAGAGCCCGAAAGGCTCTGGTGAGGGTAAGAAGGGCTGAGCCTGGGCCAGAGCCTGGAGGAAGAGCTCACGTCTCTCCAGGGAGGAGCAGCAGAGTCAGAAATGGAGGAGGAAAGCACAGGGGCAGTACCCTGGAGGCCGTGGGTCGACGGAGGGTGTCTGCAGAATGGGTCCCATGCAACAGAGAGCCAGGTACATGAGGGCTCGAGACAAAAATGTCCAATAAAAGTAATGGAAACATTTCTGTCCGATGCCTGGCACGTGTAAGCACTGTCTCACCGTCGCACCGTCGTGGAGCTAGAACATCAGCACACGGTGCCGTTGACCTTGTTTAGCTCGATTCCAGGAGCAGAACGAAGGACAGCGGTTGGTCAGGAAATCTCGCGTGAGAGCACCATTATTTTCTGAAGTCATTTGTTAGATTTGGGGAGCTGTGTTTCCATCGACAGGAAGCATCACATTCTCAAAGGCTAATCTCTTCCAGTCTGCGTTCCCATTGGCAAAATAAGCCTCGAATGAGAATGGTCTCTGTAAGTGACATCCACCTGTTTGAATAGGATGCCAGAAGCTTTTAAGTCATTTCTCAGACCTATGGGAAGTCATAAGAGAAACTCAAGTTTCTTTGGAGAAGAATCATCACTAACAATGTGCAAAGAAAATGGCACACATGAAACACATTACTACCCTTTTCTGGATTTTATTTCCGTTTTC